AACTCCTGCTGACGCAGTGCTATTTTTGTGTTATTCAAGTGTGTTAAAGTTTGCTTTTTATGAAAATTGTCGCAATGGATGAAGAATATTGTGAAGGACTGCTTTTGTATTTTTTTAACGTGCAAGTTCCCTTTCACAGATTTCCCTATTGACGGGTTTGTTTACAGAATCGTGACGTCAAAACAGGTATCCATCATAGAAGCATTGTTTTGGCGGGAAAATTTTTATTTCAAATTTAATATAATTTTTTTATGTAACAAGGGCGGTATCAGTTAAATAAAAACTGGTCATATGAATATTGTGCAGCATAAACTATCGATTTAAAACAAATTTGGAAAATTTTAGTTCACTTGCAAGTTCCCCATTGAAATTTTGAGGATCTGGGTAACTTTTTGTGCCGCTTCTACCATTTTCGTCCAATTTCACCAGTTTCGCTTCAATTTCGATTTCGATCAAGTGACGTCATCTTTCGAATCTTAAATGTAACTTATGGTATATTATGGCCTTTTTCGTTAGAAAATTAGATTACAAAATCGGCAATGCCATATTTGTTAAGGCTTTGTTAAAGAAAATGATAATAAATTATACAATGGAACATATGATGATGCGTTCCGAAGTTATCATTTGGGAAAAGCCTCGTGGGACACCCTGAATATATATATTTTTTTTTTGGGAAAGATTCCATCAAACAGAAACGTTTAAGCTATTAATGCGCAAAATGCATATTTTCCATCAGAAAATTTCAATCAAAATTGAACATCTTTCAAAAATCAACTACGAAAATTCCCTACCAATTGGAGACCAAATAAATTGGTTGATATAATCCACAAGAAAGGGAGACTGCATTACTCCTAACCTCCTTAAGTACCTATTATTGCTTGAAAAACGACCAATAACTTTCAACGTGGTTAGTAAGAACACGAGTACAAACTCCAAGTTATGGGATCTTGAAATTTAAATTATTCTTTAGTCTCCGATTGCTCGCTCCGCTCGCCAAATCTCAAAGAGAAGATCCTTGGAAATGTAAATCCACCAAAAACGTAAACGATTGGAACCGAGTTCGGAATCTAGTTGAACAGCGACTTCAGAACATTTGGACTTTCTTTCGGATTCCATCTAGAAGACGAAAATATGAAAAAATACGAAATTTTACACGCCTTTGCAGTCAAAATTAATACATACACATCAAAAGTCTGTAAAGTTCCTCACAAATATTTGCGTATTTGGCTCGCTATTTGGCATCCATCTAGGATAGGTGAAAATCTAGAAAATTGAAACTAGAGAAACAGAGAGACGAGAACACATAAACAGCCAAATATTTGTAGCTATTTGCCGAATGTGTGATGGAGGCTTAATATAACAAGAATGCATTCTCTCTACTTTTTCTTTCAGATTTAAAAACACTGAAACACAAAACTGGACCTTAAATGAAACGAGGCCTTGAAAGTTTCAAAATGAGTAGTAAAAACAATGCTCATAGATGATGTCGAACCAAGTGTTGAACTATTGCAAGGTTGCCACTTCTCATGTAATGAAACCTCAAATGAAACATTCCTTAGAAAATAAAAGTTGATGTTTCTAACTGACTAATAGGGACTCAGAAGAATATTTTACTTAAAGCTTAGTTGAATAGTTTAGTTGAAGCTCTGTTACTCCTAAATTAAAGCAAATTCAAAGGCATATCATAATTTTATCACTACAGGTTTTCGAGTTATTACCACAAAATTTCCTTAAATTACCCCAAAAATTTCCTTAAATTGCCTTAAATTACCAAAAATTTCCCCGAATTACCACTATATTTCCACTAATTACCATATATTTCCACTAAATACCACTATATTTCCCCTAATTTCCAGTCATTACCACTCATTTCCCATAAAATTTCCACTAATTACCACTATTGTGTACACTAAATTACCACAATGAAATCTCCCTCAGATAATAATATGCACCCCTAATATTCCTCTTCTCTCACCCCACAAGTCAGTGGCGGCTCCTGACTATTTCAAGTGAGGAGGCTAAACATAATGAACTACGGTAACCACTGGCAGCAGGCAATTTTTATTTTTTTTTGAGTGTCTACTGGCCATTTGCACGGCTACAGGGTTGCCAGATGGTTATAACTAATTTCCCCCAAAGGATTTCAAAAATACCCCAAAAATCACTGTTTGTCAACTAAAATCCCCCAAATAAATATAGATTTATTCTCGACTCATACTTGCAAAAAAAAAAGACAAATTCGTTGAATATATTAAAATAAAACTCATACCCTTACCACTTTTTTATTTGTTTATATTTTTCTAAACCCAAAAATTTTGTTGCATACTGCCATAGCAGCCATGTTGGCTTTTTGTGTTTTGGAGGGATTTCATGCCCTTATTCGTTTTATCTAAAAAAATCCGCAAAAAATCCTCTGAATTACAAAATCCGATCGTCCAAAAAAATTCCGCAAATCGGATTAAAACCCGCCCATTGGCAACACTGGAGAAGAAGCAAACTGTATCTTTTTTATTGGTACTTGATTGAAAAAATAGATGGCGCAGTTGTTTTAATACATTTTTTACTTTAGTTTTATTCATTGAAATATACCCGATTTCCCCCAATAGCAAAAATTCTTACAATTCTTACCCCCAAAAAATCCCCCAGAAAAAACTATCCCCCAGATTTTCCCCCATCTACTTGAAAATCCCCCAAATTTCGGGGAAAATCCCCCAATCTGGTAACACTGCACGGCTATCACTTAAGGGATATTTAATCTACACATAGATTCAAAAGTTTTGCATCACCTTGTATTTAAACGAAAAAAAATTTTAGCGGCAGCAATTTTTTTTAGGTTTGTTTATCAATGTTTATCTTCCTAAATAGTCGCATATTTGTTGCCCGAAAAAAATGTTTAGAATTTTTTTTGTAAGTTCACATTTTTGGTGCGACTAGTTCTAGAGTCAAGACAGTTGAATTTTACGAATTCACGCGCAAAGATGCCTCGACAAGACATAAGTGAGATTGATCGTGCAAGAATAGTGGCTTTAATTGAAGAAGGTCATTCTCAAAGGTTCGTAGCTAATAGAGTTGGTGTTTGTCAAAGTGATGTGTCTCGCACCTGGAATCGCTATCTCCAGAATAATTCTCTTCGTGATAGACCCAGAAGCGGTAGAAGCAGTGTCACTAATCAACAACAGAACCGTTATATTCACTTAACCATCCGAAGAAACCCGACCATGGCAATACCAGCACTCCAAAGAGATATGCGTCATGGCTTGGGAGTTCAAATATCGGTCTCTACATTGCGGAGACGAATACTCGCGACAGGTTCAAGGTGTCGTCGACCACTTAGAGTACCTCGACTGCAACCAGAGCACAAAGTTCGTCGGCTACATTGGGCTCAAGAGCACGTGGCTTTACCTGCAAAATTTTGGAACTCGGTGTTTTTTTCTGACGAAACAAGAATTTGTTTGGTGCAGGATAGTCGTCGCATACGTGTATGGAGAGAGCCAACAAGAGCTGCCCAGCTTGCTCATGCACGCCCCGTGCCACCCTTTGCAGGAGGAAGTGCTATGTTCTGGGCTGCTATCATGTCTAATGGTCGCACAGAATTAATTTATGTTCAGGGCACAATGACTGGAGACAGATACATGAGAGAGATTCTAGATCCTTACGTCAGACTATGGCGAGGAGCAGTTGGTGATGCTTTCGTTTTTATGGACGATAACGCCCGACCCTACCGTACCAGAGCTGTAAATGAGTATCTGGAAACGCAAGGCATCAATCGTTTGGACTGGCCCGCACTATCGCCAGACATGAATCCCATAGAGCATGCTTGGGACATGCTTGCCAGGGCAGTGGCAGCCCGCAGAAACCCACCCAGGACTCTACAAGAGCTTGTTCATGCTGTTCAGGAAGAATGGCTAAATATTCCTCAACAACATATCACCAATCTGATAGACAGCATGGGCAGGCGTCTCCAGGCTTGCATAAATGCTAGAGGTGGAAATACCCAATATTAAAGGTTTTCAAGTTCATTTTTTAAAGAAATCCATCAATTTGTAAATTTTGATTTTTGTTTGAAAATACTCCTATGTTTTAAAAAAAGTTTTTCAGTGTAATAAAATTTTTCTGCAAGTATTGTAGACGTTTTCTTAATTAAAACTAATCAATTAATAAGTCTCTAATTTATTTTTCCTGATAAAAAAAATACTTTCGGAGATTTAGGGTGATGCAAAACTTTTGAATCTATGTGTATATTATAGGGGTTTTCGAGCGCTTGACCGGTAAATACCATATACTGTCAGTATTTACCAATTTAATTTAAGCGGTTTGGTAATTCGTGGTCATGACCTAAAAACGAGCCCTTGGTATTTGTTTTGACGTTATTTTTCGACATTGACAAGCAGCGGTATTTACCGGTATTTACACAACTTTCGACCTGTTTTTCATCTCCCACCATTTGTTGATGACAATTGACTTACATTTGAAAAAATTAATGGTGAACGTTGCTTTTTCTTTTTTGTTTATTTTGTTATTTGCAATTTGCATTTGCGGTTGTGTTAGTCCAGTCCCAGTTTCAGTATTTTAAAGGATAACGCACACCTAACATGGGATTTTTGGGCTCTATGGATTTTGCCCATTTTTTGATATGTTGTAGAGGATTTGATTTAATTCTGAACAACCTTTAAATGGGACGACATCTTGTAGGTGTTACGGTCTGTGAGATATGAGCGTTGAAAGATGAACTTTTTTGCAACTTTTTGTGTGGAGAGTATACGAAAAACTGGTGTTTATCAGTCAAAATTTTGAAAGGTCGACATATTTTACGTCACTAATAAATGTCAACATAAGCTAAGGCCGGGACCGCACTGGCGCCAACATTGACCGCAGTGCGGTCCCGGCCGCGAGATTTCAGATCCTAGTGCACTTGTGAACGTATTTGTATTGGCGGCCTGTGATTGGCTGCTTGATCTGTCATGTCAGCGCTTTCCTGAATTTTTATGAGGTTATGTCGTTTTGTTTTCATTTAATTTGTTTGGCGGTTTTTGGCCTATCTTTGATAATTATTTCTTAATGAATAATCATCAAAATGGAAAATAATCAACTAATTAAATTCGATGTTGATATTGCAGAAACGTGCAAGGTTAAAGTAAGAGCTCCTATTGTAGTTTGTGTATTGTATTATTGCCATATTAAACATTTTAGTTATTGAATATACTACCTGACGTACCAACAGTCGTTACAAAATTGGATTTTGAAGAAAATCCATGTAATATTGAAAATCAGAAATTCATAGCAGAACTGCGAACAAATTGTTCAGACAAACAGAGTGCTATAAATTGGAAAGAAAAATTTGAAGAACTTAGCTACACCAGCTACAACGTAGACAGTACCTTTAACGAAAATACCTTAAAAACTATTTTTAAAGTAAGTAATCTTACATCACATTTCTTTTATCTGGTTTTGTTTCAAGTTTACTTGCTCAACCTTAGTTTTTGAAATAAAGAAATGAGATTCTATAGTATTTAACAACTTACCTGTTAACATAAAAAACATGAATACTTACAGCTCTTTTTTGAGTTATCTGAAGCAATTTTTTTCTGCTTAAATAATATATATGTATTTTTTTTTAAATGTTATAAACTATGAATTGTTTAGGACAAATTCATCAAATATAGCATAGCACTGTATTATAGGTTTAATATTCTTGAGGCCAGTGCTTCTATGTACTGATTAGAGAATTATTGTTATGTAAGATATGTAATGCAAAAAAGAATACTGTAATAAAAACTTTCAAAAAAAAAAAAAAAAGATCCTATACTTTTTGAAACTTATGAAAGTAGCAAAATGAGTGTAGCATAAGAAGTCCCAGTGGTTTATACCTTAGATTGTTTATACTGTTCATAATATGAATTTATTGTCTTATTTTCTTAAAAGTTGCATATTTTTTTGAAACATCCTTGTATTTCTTCAGAAAAAAAGTTTAATTTACCTATGTATTTTTTTTAAATTCTGTTGGATTTATTTTATGTTAATGATGTATATTTTGTATATTTTCAGTGCATCTTTCACTGTTTACATAATACCAGGCCACCTAAAAGAGTCAAAACACCTCACTATAAACATGTTGATTGTCCAGCAAAACTAACCATTAATGTCAAGAATCCAAAAATGAAAAAGTGAGTTATAACATTACAACACCACACTGAGTTACAACTGTTGCCAACTTGACAGCTAGTTCAGCGTTAGTAGTGAATGTTCAGTTTCGTAATATAATTGTTTTTTTTAGGAGTAAGGATATGTATTTGAAAGAATTTCCCTGTGTTATTTCCATTCGGTATACCTACTCACAACCATTCCCTTTTTTGTGCTGATGTACTGCGCCATAAGAGACCTTCACAAGCAGTTGAAGCAAAGTTTAGAGAGTTATTTGGGAAAGGCCATTCCCCTTCTTCCGCATTGGAAATATATAAAATGGAGTTACAAGACCTGGATCCAGAAAACTATTATAAAATTGTAGCTGATGGCTCAAAATGCCCAACACGTCGTTGGTGTTATGAATTATTTTATAATATTTTCAAAAAACAATATGGAGATCCTAGTGGCCCTGAAATGATCAAAACATTGTCCAAAGTGATTGGTGAATACAATGAACAATGTGGGGATAATTGTGCTGCAATGAAAAATGACGAAAATGATCTAGTCATTGCTATATGTTCACCAATGATGAAAAATGTACATGAATATATAAAGTCGTCTGGTGAAATAATGTTTATAGATTCATCTGGCAATATGGATCGACATAATACCAGAGTTTTTTTGATGTTATGTCCATCAGTCGTAGGGGCTCTTCCAGTAGGCTTAATGATGACATAAAGCGAGTCAGAAAATGCAATATCAAAAGTTTTAGAGCTTTACAAAACCCTAATAAATAACTGCGCATTCTACAAAAATGATTTTCCAAAAGTAATTATCACAGATGATTCTACCGCAGAACGCCAAGCTCTTAAAAAGTCCTTTCCTTCTTCTATGTTATTACTTTGCAAATTCCATATTTTGCAAAGCACAATGAGGTATTTGTGGGATTCTAAGCACCATGTTGATAAACATGATCGTGTCCATATTTATAAATTATTTCACAATTTAGTGAATTGTACTAGAGAAGATGAATTTTTGAAAAGTTTTGAGAATTTATTGAAATGTGACAGTTGTAAGAAATACAAAATTGTTGTAAAGTATTTTGAAAATCTTAAGCAAAGATCGAAGGAGTGGGCGTTGTGTTACAGATCTAATATACTTACAAGGGGTAATCACACAAATAATTATGCAGAAGCAGGCTTTAGAATTTTGAAAGACAAGATTCTTCACCGCACTAAGGCATTTAGCATAGTACAAATGTTTAGTTTTTTAACTGAAAATTTGAACAGCTACTATGTCCGGAAAATTACTGATATAATTAATAATCGTAGTGAAAGTCTTGCTCGTAAATACTTGATAAAAAATGAAAAAATCGAAAGTTTCAATTATGAAGTCATCATCAGCAATTCTTTGTTTAAGGTCATATCAGGAGAAAACGAATATTTTGTAAATACAGACATTGAACTCTGCACATGTTACAAGGGAAATAGTGGAGCTCCCTGTAAGCATCAGTATGGAGTTGTTAAAACTTTTAATTTGACATCCCAGCAATTTATTCCTACTACTGATGTTAAAATGAAGTGTATTTTACACAAACTAATAAACAGTACTGCAGTGCCAAACAGCTGGTATGAAAATTTGAAGAGTAGTAATGTTCCACAAAATAATATTAGCATACTTGGTACGGAAAGTGAAGCTAACTATATTAATGATGTTAATGACAATTTAGTAACCAGTATTGCTGAAGTTGAGCAATCTGCTGATGAAAATCAACGTTTTTCCCAAGAAGATATAGAGGCTGAGAGCAGTAAATTGTTAAAAAATATCCAAAATCTGAATTCCAAATTGTTAAGTGATCCTGATGTTTTTTATCCAGCAATCAAAAAGTTCAATGCATTGTTTTGTGAGGTGAAAACAAATTCATCAATGGTGTCAGCTTTACATACCTTTGGAAAGTATTCGGGTGCAGGACAACCATTAATAGGAAAAAGGAAAAATTTGCAGGGTAGAAGGACAATAGGAGTGCAACCTACGGCATTATCAAGGCGACGGGTTCATCTCGGAGGTAGAAATGTGGTCTTTACTGGAAGACCTCCAAAAAATATGAATAATGATCATACATACCATAAAAAAAAACGGTTGACTCCTAGTGACGTGCCAAGTTTGAGACAAAGCGCTGCACCTCATTCGCTAAGTTTTTGTGTGGATAACAATATAAGTTTGGGCAAAACTCATTAGAGAATTTTAAACTTTGTTCATGTACCTACTATGAAAACAATTTGTGAACCTGGTTATTATAAAGAAAATATAATACTTTTTTTGATATTTAGCATGCTTTAAATAAATAATAATGATGCTGTTTTGGTCAGAATTTAAGAAATATACCCACAGTTAATGTTGATATTATTGATATTCCTTATTATTATTTTTAAATAAAACTACCTATATTTTACAAAATGTGACTTTTATTCAGAAAAACATCTAAAAAATAAATGTTATGCTATGTTAATAGTATGGTGTCTACTTTTACTTCCACACCACGAAACAATGGGAAAAAAAGGACATTAGGTATTATCCGTAGTTCATAAAGCTTGGCTTGTGGAAAAACTTGGCTTGCGTGATGCATTGCAAGTGTGACAAAGCCTACTTCTCCACTAAGCCAGGCTTATGAACTACGGACTATATGGCCCTTAAAATATCCTAAAACGGACAAAAAACAATTTGGGCGAAAAAAATTTTATGTGTGTTGGCATAGTTAGTCTGTCTGTAGTAAAGGTAGTAAAAATACCTAGGTACTAAATATTTAAATCAAAATAACATTTTGTTATTCACAAGAATATGGCCAAAAAAAGTAGGCAACTAATACATTCCAAAGATTTAACTAATCTCATTTATTTACAATTCAATAAATTCAAAGGTTAGAATTTTTTGAATCAAGGCGGCAAATCTTCCGCCAATCGCGTGCGTCTAAACAAGGATCCATCACAAATGCACTAGGATCTGAAATCTCGCGTCCCGGCCTTAACCTAAGTTGACATATGTGAACCTGTCAATACTTTGACTGATAAACACCAGTATCACATTGGTAATTGAACTAACCAAGATGCTGTCAAACTTGAATTAAAATGGCCGCCAAAAGGCACACAAACCTTTTTTTTATGTGTCATTCAATGTGTCATGAATTTTTTTTCAAAAAAATATTGCTCATTGTTCATTTGCGTTTTGATACTCGTTGTTTTTACTCGTATTTTTATTAATGTTAGAAATAGAACAGATCCCTAGGGCACTCCTGCAGTGATATCCAACCCCTCTGAAGTACTGAACCCCTTGAAGCAGCACTTCATGACAGACACAATCGAAAGCTTTTTTCAGGTCACAAAAAACTACTGCGGCCACTTTTTCGTCATTTATCTTCTAATACAGCTCATCCAGAAGATGAAATATGGTATCATCAGTGTTTTTTGACTGCTGAAACAGAGACAGAGAAAGCAATTTATATCTATCAAATCAAGGAAGCTCACCATCCACCTTAATTAGCCACTCTACAATTTTAGTCAAAGTTGGCAGTAAGGATATTGGCCGGTAATAAGATGGTAAATTCTTATCACCCCTCTATTAAACAAAGGTACTACCCAAAATTGCTTCAAAATGAGGGAAAACTTCCGGTAAGAAAAGAATTTAATAATGGAATCCGCCAACACATCAACAGCCTAACTGAGATATCGTCCCATCCAGAAGATTTTCTATTTTTGATACTCAGTTTCTGAGCAATCGTAAAGTAGTATGAATTAATATTATCTGCTTTCAAATTGGAAGCACATACTATGTATATTTTTTATTTTTTGGCGTACGTCCTCTGAGGCGTAGGTCGTTCTTTTTTTTTTGTTTATTGGATGCGGATGCCCAACCTCTCATTGTAATAAATCTCCCTTGCCTGTTTCATCGTCTTTCTGTAGATGCTCCTGTATCCATTATTTAAAGTAGGTCATAATAGCTATTTATGTACCAAGGGGATTATGTAGATTATAATGCCCGAAGGCGAAACTAGCCCGAGGGCCTATGGCCCGAGGAATATATTTCGCCTGAAGGGCATTATAATCTTGAAATCCCCGTGGTGCATACAATGCTTTATTTTCTACTCAACACAATGTTTTTTCATCAATTTGTTATTAACAAAATCAGTTAAACTTGTGTGACAGAATATTGTTTTGTATTTTGACATGTACCTGTACCTGTGACCTGTACCTGTACCTGCGACCTGTACATAGAAACGAAATACATTAATATATCTATAAACATCTCATAAGGCAAGGCAACGGTGGTGGTCCTGTGGGTTAACGCGCTGGACTACATGGGAAACATTGATGGTAGACCGGGTTCGAATCCTGGCTAGACCGAAAATTATTTTCGGTCAGACATTTAGTGGCTGCCTAGGGTAAAGTGCAAATTAATAGAACAACAACAACAAAAACACCTTAAGGTATTATAAGCGGGCGTTATAGATCATAACGCCCGCAAAAGCGGGCGTTATGGATCAGGTTGTTATAGGTGTGTTAACGTATTTCGTTTCCTAGGTATTATGGATCTATAATAGTAAAGTAGAAAATAAAAAATATATTATCAATATCAAGAGCAAACTTTCTTAAGGAATGAAGACACCTAAATTTTCTAGAAGCAATTCTTAAACCTTTTGTGATACAAGGCTTTTTCTTTTTCGATTTTAACTTGACTAACATAAATGCATGGTTAAAAATCGTTCTTCAATCAAATCTAGAACAAACTTGTGAAAAAACAATACAAATCAAAGCACAACACTGGACGGTGGAGTTGCAACAAATAAATATTTTCACATTTTAAGGGTAGGTCCTGCGTGTCCAAGTGAAATGTAGGTAGAGCAATCTTGCCCAAACAATAGGGATTCCGTAATTGGGTAGAAACGGCCAAAAATTGAGACGCACACAATAGAAAATGAGTATTTGATTATGATTATTAATGACATAACCTAATGACGTTATGGTTTGTGTTTGTGTCAAATGTTTGTGTGC